TTACTTTTCTTAGGCTCAGGAGAGGCTAAACTGTTCCTCTAGCACATTTAAAACATACTAAAATGTTCCTTTTTTCCTTATGGAGTCACAAATAGTGTTTGAGTTAAACTTGCTCCTAACATTACAGTAGACCAAAGGAATTCCAGGATTTCCACAATTTCTGGATGTTTTTCTCCCCTTTATAGTGAAAAAGTTAAAGTGTAACTGAATTGTACAAGATAGATAACATGTTAATTTGAAAACTGAATCCTATTGCACATTAAAACAGGGATATTTGTTATCTGGAAAAGAAAGCATCCTTTTGTAAAACAATGTATCATACCTGCTTTTACTTTTTTATGTTTTTTTAAATACTGGTTGCCTTTAAGCTGAAGTCTGTGTTAACATTCTATTTCATTCTTTTCCACCCTTCCCTTGGGACAAATAGACTCTAATAATGAGTGGCTGTCATGTAAATAACGCTTTATTCTGGAATAGTATTTCATGGTTTACACAGTATCGTGTGTGTGTGTGTGTGTGTGTGTGTGTGTGTAGGAGTTATCCCCATTTTACAGATGAGAAACCTGAGGCTCAGAGAGGTTATGCAATGTTCAACATACCCAGTGGTAGTAAAATTAGAGTGTAAAGGCAGATGTTTTACTATCAAATCTAGTGTCCTTTCACAGCATGTCCAGTCTCTTGTTTGAGAACTCAGTTTTTCTCCTTCTCCAGCAGGTGGTTGTATCTGCTGGTGCAGCCAGGCAGGCATGTTCAAAAGTTTTGGATTTCTAAATGCATTTTTGCTGTGGGAGAGGCATGTGCCTCTAGCAGTGTGGCTGAGGAAATGCCATTTTAACTCTCTGATCAACATTTCTGAAAAACACGTTCTTTCAGGAAGACGTTTGGGCCACTGCATAGTTAACATCTGCAAACTGCAGTAGGAAATTCATTAGCTTGAAAGGAACATGATTGCAGCAGACACATCCAGAAACAGAAGGTGGGGTGTTAATTATTAACAAGAGATTGCCTAAGAGTTACAATTTGGTGTTATTAAGGAGCTGTTGGGAATATTAGGATGGGATGAACAGAGCCCACTGAAACACAAATAGGCATTGCTCCAGCTCTGAGCCTTCACAACACCCCAATGAGGACTCAGTCTAAGAGAAAAACTTGGTATTCTCATTCAGTTATGATCCTTATGGTTATTAAAATTCTGAAACCTATCAGGTGGCAGATTCAGGCTTGGCCAAGGAACCGGCATTTGCAATTCAAGAAATTCAACCAAACTTTGCTGAATACTCAACACAGGCTCAAAGCCATATTCATGGAGAGCTGGGGAGGAGGGGCATACAGATGCCACCCCCAGGGCCAAAGGACCAAGATAGCACTCAGATTACCCTAAGGCACCCAGAATGGACCTCCAAAGCAGCTTCAGGAAAAGAAGGAATAACATCTGCTGAGCTGATTGGGTACAAAAATAACATTCCACAGCAACTTCTACACACCAAGCACCGTGCCAGGTACTCTCTGGAGCCCAGCAACTCTATGAGTTTGGTTATTATCCCCATTTTGCAGCTCACCAAACTGAGGCTTGGTGCACTGACTTGCCCAAAGTCCATGAGTAAGTAGCAGAGTCAGGCTGATCCTCCTCACTGCTCTGTTCTACTTCTGAAGAAACGGGCATGTGGAATCAGCCCGGGGAATGCTGAATAGAAACAAGGAATTGGAGAGCAAAGTATTCTAAGCAGTAGGAATTAGGGAAGAGATAAGGGAAACTACAGGCTGGTGTCTACTATAAAGAATCTTAACTGTCTGGCTTGGGAGTCATACTTAAATCAGTAAATAATAGGGGCCTTTACATATTAAATCATCTCTCTTCAGTAAACTGGGATGTGTTGGGTTTACTGAAAAAGTAATATTTTTCTAAGAATATTTAAATGTAAATAAAGGAACAAAATATTCTACTGTGATCATATTAAAATAATGTAATTTCAGTAATACAAGGTGTTAACCATGAGCAATTTGGCTTGCCATCAACAAGTTATGTCATCAACAGGTTAAAACAAATTGTCACAAAAGGACAAAAGCAAACGTATACTACTAAGAATGAGCACTAGCTATCAAGGCCTTCCAAAGTACATCACTCACACTGATGAGTATTTTTTGGTTTGTTTTTTAAAAGGCATTTTTGCATGTGTTGTATGATTCTAAAAGCCATACATGTCCATCACAGAAAACTTAGGAAATGCAGAAAAGTGCCAGCATACCTACATATTCACATCACTTGCTTCTTGCTAACCTATAGAACTGTAATTTCTTTCTAAACTGCACTAGTGTTTTTTATAATGTATAAAGTGTTTCCCCTGATTAATTACTCTGGTGACTGGAACTCCACAGGCTGCTATTCACACATTACCAGAGCTGGTCACATTTTTAGCTTCTTGGCCTCCATCCCTGTTTTTTCCTCTCCTTTCTCCACTCTCAAGACTCAGCTTAAAAGACTCACCTCTCCCCCTGAAGCAAAGACCACATTGACACAGTTCTACCCTGAGCACTTAGCATGGTAGCATTTGGACATTCCTTTTCCTTTTATTCAACTGTTCTATATCTAATGTTAAAAAGTAAGAAATGTCAAAGCATTGCTTTTAGGCTGGTATCCAAATTAACAGGCATCTTATGAGGAAAGGGACATTCTCAATACATAAGTATAAACAGAAACTGTGGATCAGTTACAGGGAGTGAAAGTATGACTCATTTGTCAAAAATGGGCTCTTCTCAAAAAGGAATAATAGTTTCAGATGACTCTCTGACTTTTTTTCTTCCCTGGTCAACATTTATTTACTGAGCACCTACTGAGTACCTTTGAGGTCACATGAAATACATAGAGATACACAAGATGACTTCATTCCAACAAAAAAAGACATATAGGTTTTAAAAAACTTTAGATAAGACATGGTTAAGTCATATAAAACTGATAGACTCTTCTGGAAATTCAGAGATTCAAGTTAGTTGACTGAGAGCATCTGACATTTGGCTTAGGCCTTGGAGAATAAGTAAGACATGCACATGAAGTGTGTGTGTGTGTGTGTGTGTGTGTGTGTGTGTGTATGAATGTGTGTGGGTCAGGGAAGGAAGAGATTAGAGCAGATAGAGAGCAGACTGGGCAAAGGTGATAGAATATAGGCCAAGAAGTGTTTAGGGAAAAAGAAAAATGTGGGAAGAACAGTGTGAGCCTGCAGTCAGACCCTAGAACGGCACATATTCCCTACAGTTTGGAACCATTTAGTCACTCAGCAAGTGTTTCTTAATCACATGCTATGTGGTAGGCCCTGTGACAGAAATGTGGAGATACAGAAAGAAAAACAAAGGCCTGGTCCCTTGCTTTTGCCAATTCCATGATAACATAACTTTTTAGAAATGTAACTTAAACTCAAGGAGAACTTATCAGGAACAAAACAAAACTGGCAAAAATGACAAAAATTAATGGTTTGGAATCTCTTTTGGTTACTTATTGCTGTGTGACAAACTATCCCAAAAACCAATGACTTGAAACAATTGTCTGCTTACTAGTTCACAGTTCTGCAGTAGGGATGGGTGTGACAGAAACAGGTGTCTCCTTTTCACGTGGTGTCAGCCACTGGGGTCTGTCTGGACTGGTCAACCTGTGTCATGTGTCTTGGCCCCAGACTTTGCTGTGGCCTCGGTTCCTCCTTCTCCACTCAGGACTCTCAGACATTTCCTATTGTTCCTGGTAATTTGCTTTTGTATGCAGTGGCTGGCTTCCACCAGTGTGTAAAAAAGGAAGCTGCCCAGTTTTGAGAAATGGCACAGTGTCCCTTCTATCACATTCTAATGGGTAAAATAGGTCACAAAACAAACCCAGATCTAAGGGCAGAGGATTGCGCAAGGGTGTGAATATCAGGAGGCATGGTTCTTTGGGAGGAAAAAGAAGAGGGTTACAATCTTACAGTCATATAATCCAGCAGTGTCTTCCACAGTTGTATTTAATTAAGGGACATTAAGTGCATAGATTTTTTTTTCTACTTCAGAACACAAAACCCTACCTGCCTCACTCTATCCCCACGTTTTTGAGTGCCAGTAAAACAGTCATTTCTCATGCACCTCTGACTACTTAATGGGACTGCGTTAGATTCTAAACCAACCTTGCAACATCCAGGGAAGGAGAGTTCAGCTCAGACCCATCCTGCCTGCTCCTGACACTGTGTCACTCCTAAGAGCTCCTGTGGTCACTCCTGCTTCCAAATAGAAAGAAAGAAACCCTCTTTGAGCCTGGCACCTGCTGCCCCCCTTACCATCGCCATCGCCTGGCTTTCCCCAGATATTCCCAAACACCCTCTCTCCTCACAGCCCAGTCTCTCAGAGCTAGGGCAGAAAACAGTTCCTGATTCTTGGATGCCATTTCAGATCCCTCTATACTTTTTATGATTGTGCTTTCCATCCTTGGTGATCTGTCTTTCCATTTCCAAAACTGAATACAATGCTCCAGGCATAGCTGAGTACTATGCGCAATGGTGACCTCAGAATTGCTACAGGGAGAGCAAGCTAGTTGGTAGGAACAGGGTAAGGGGGGCTAAGCAATTTTTTCTTGAAATATTTTGCTTTTTGAGACAGGGTCTCACTATGTTGCCCAGGCTGAACTTGAAGCCCTGGGCTCAAATAATCCTCCTATCTCAGCTCCCAAGTAGCTGGAACTGCAGGAGACATCATCATGCCCACTCAAAACTTTTCATAAGGGTGATGTGACCCCTGAGATAACTAGGAGTGGTCAACAAAAATCAGCATATAGTCCAGAAGGGATGAATAAAAAATACACTTAGCTCACTTAATAAAAATGTATGTTGGTATGTACCTAAAAGAGCAAAAGTTAACTGGGTTTAATAAAAAACAAAAAGCTTGTTTGTTTGTTCTGTTTTTCACATTTCTAACCATCCGTCAATGATTCCATGAAGAGTAACTGTGCATGGCCCCCAGAAATCAGACGTACAGATTCAATTCTCTTCACCATTTATTTTGAGCAAATTATTTAATTTTTCCATGCCTTAGTTCTTTCATCTGTAACATGAGATCAATAAAAGTATCTACCTCATAAGGTTTGTATGAGTATTAAGTTCTAAGATAATACCTAATAAATTGTAAATAGTCACTAAATGTTACTTAGTACTTTTATTCCATAAGTTATCATCAGCCTGAGAATTTTCAACATATGCTTCATTGCTATTTTTTCTTTGTTAGTTCTTTTTAAAGGTGATCTTGAAGGCAATGAGTTTCTAAGATGACGAGAAACTGAAGATACCCTGCAAGCTACATTCTTGGTGTGTAGGCCAACTTTAAGTCGTGGCAAGAAGAAGTATCAAAAGCTAAGAGTGAAATATCAGTAGCAAATACATTTTTTAAAAAACACCTTAAGGTGACAATTCTTCTCCTAAGTTATAGAAGTTAAATATTAGAAAAATAAGGTAATTGACAGAGATAAACTTTGGAAGGAAATAGCTGAGAAATAAGCATCGAACCCAAATATACTTTCAATGATTTTATGAAAAATGTACCTTCTCATCAAATCTGTGTGGGGAGAAATGAGATATGTGAAAGCAATTCAGAATCTCATGTTGGGCATTATGTACAATTCCACGGCACTGTTTTTGCTCTCAATTTCTCTCCTGACATCTTCTTTTCTATTACAGTCACAACAGGCAAGCAGAAGAGGCAGGCATCCAATGAGACAAAACAGGGCACATGGTGTTTCCAGCAGGACACTCAAGTAGGACCATTTTCCTGCCCTCCATGCTTACAGAATTTTATTTGCATAGAAGAACTGTAGGAGCTCTGGATGATAGTGGCTCTGAAAGAAATTGGCAAAGGCACATGTGAGGAAGGACTCAGTACATCTTCTTGACTATATCACTAGTACACAGATGTCAACATGGAGAATTAGGATAAACAACAGGAGAGATAGAAGCAGCATCACCTGAACTGGAACCACCAGCACACTTCGTATATGATCTCCCAGGTGTGTCACCATTTGCATTGAATTATGGGTCAATTACAAGGGAAATAATTGCCCTGAGACATTTTGGGGGTGGGGGTGATGCCCTGCTTTGCTTGGCCACCTCCCATGTTAAGTACCAGGAGGGTAAGGACCAGAGGAGAATTCCTTCCTGTGCTGGTTCGCTCACCAGCTGCAGGCAGAGTTTGGGGTTCCTCTGCTCTTCTTCATTCTGGAAGCTGTACTCTTTCCTCAGTTTCAGGTATGGAGAGCAGGCTCGAAAAGTTGTTTTGCAACCCTGAGAAAAATAATAATACCATATTATATTGAAAATATTAGAGAGTTCTAGAATCCCAAGCAGGGATACCCCACAGGAGTGCACCCAACCTACGGTCAGGGCTACTGAATGAGTGAAAGTAACTTCCAGGATGTTTGCAAACTTGAGCCTTAAACAAATGTGTGTCATCTAGGGTCCAGTGGGGGTGCACTGTAGTACTGAATTCCTAAACTCAACCTCATTCTCTCTACTCTCTCTCTCACCCACCCTCCTCTGTTTCTCCATCAGAAGATAAGGGGTTTCATAGAACTCTTTGCTCCTACAGTTTTTGAAACATTCACTCAGTCCCATTCCAAAGCAGGCCTGAAGTTGATCCAACCCTGTTAGGACACATTTTCTCCAAGAACAAAACAAAAAAAATCCCATAGGGAGTTGAGAACCAGAAGTGGGAAATCGTACTGGGCACAGTGAGAAGAGCTAACTGGGGATGAATAAATACACTCATTCAGTGGGCTGTTGCCCCACTGATTAAACCCACTCCCTCTGCCTCACCCTCATGAACCTGAGTTTATCCAGACTTCTCAGGTGCTGGATTGAGCAGTTGGGTAAGAAGCAAATGAAAAAGGACATCCTTACTCAAGCAGGGAGTACACACAAGGAGACCTCTTTTCCAGGATTCACAAGCATCCACTGCTAACTGGCCCTGACCACATTGGCAAGAACCTGAGGTTTTGACATCTCAATTTCAGAGCTGCCTCACATCCCCTATGACCAACGGGGATTCCATGCTGTTGGGTAGAGAATCACAGTCTTACCTTGGCAACCTGGGGATTTCTGTCCTGTAAATGAGTTAGGAGAGACTCCTGTGTCTGCTTCACCTGACTGTTGAAAAACTTCTTCCATTTCCGCCCAGCAAAGGCAGCCAGTTGCCCAAACAAAACAAAGGCCGAGTATCTCACACTGTCATTCTCCTGTGGGTTTCCATCAACAAAACAACAGAACCAGGTCACGGCCAAAAGGCAACTGCATCAGGCACAGTGCAGTCACCGCCCTGGGATGTACATGACAGGGTAGCATCAGATCCAGGGCCCTCTTCCATCTTTTTACATAAAGACACACCCCATCCCACTGGTATTAGGCACCTTGGTTTCTCTATCAATCTACCTAAGCTTTTCCCATGTCACCATTAAAAGGAGTTTTCGTTCTTTTTTCTCCTCTTTCTCTTTCTTTCCTTTTCTTCATCATCATTCACTGGACCAGTCTTCTGTTTATTACTTTCAGCATTTTGGCCAGGTTACCTCTCTGCTGTTGGTCTGAATTCCTCGCACTTGTAGTGGAAATAAGGATCCTGCTTCTTCCCCCAACATTCTCCCAACTCTCCTGGCTTTTAGTCTAATGGGTCTGTTCACCCCTGGTCAGTAGTCTCAGCCTTTCTTTCCCCTCCCATGTGAGCTGTTTGTTCCACATCTTTCTCTTTCCTAATGAGGAGTCCATGGCCCAGGGCCTTTCAGCAACAAGCCTGGAGTTGCCCATCAGGCTACAGACCCAGTGTCAGTAGAGCTCAGCCTCCTGACTCTGGGTGCACAGGTTTTTATATCCGTTTTCTGTGGTCCAGATGAACCAGAGGGAAAAGGGCAGGGGCTAGTCTGCTCAAGGCCAAGGAGCATCCAGAACACAGAGGCTAAGCAAGACTGAGGACCACTGATCATTCTGTGATGTATTTAAAAATACTTTTAGGATATGTGACACATGCAGAAATTGACCCAGGGTTGCTATTTTGTTCACTGAATTATCAGTGCATTTATGTGTGTGCTAATTCAACTCAGCTAACACTTATGGAGAATTGACCCCATCCACAGCCCTCCCCGAATGCTGAGAGGTGCAGGAATGGTAACACTGGTGTCTGTTCCCCAGGAGCCGGACCATCATCTAATAGGGGGCACATGCGTGAGTGAACATGGTGTAAGGCAGACAGTGAGGAGTGCTATCTCTGAGGGAGATACAAACCATCACCAAACAACTCTGCATGAGAATTTCCCTCTTCTACATGGCCAAGGTTTCCATGGCCAAAAATGATAGGCTAGTGGAGTTATAATTATGGGCAAATGACAAGCTAGTCCTGAAGTTCAGAAGGGACCTCTAGAGAGATTTAAGGACCTGTATCCAAAACATCTGCTGACATTCCACGGTGGTGAGGTAGACACCTTCCTCTCCACTCCTCAGAGAGGATTAGTTTATATTCATTCAAGAGCAAACATCTGTCTCTCTCTGGAGGAAGGAGAGACAAATGTGCTAGCGTCTCCTGTACAAGCCCCAAGTTTCATAATCTCAAGGCCTCTTATTCTTTTGTGGAACTGGTACAGCTACCTGGCACAGTGTGGCTCTGGGAGGACTCAAGAGTGTGGGGAGCTGATGCAAGTTGCTTGGGTAGAAAATGAAAGGTCTGCTCCCTGATCAACTGGTCTTATCTTTCAGAGAATAACTGGCAGGCTAAATTGATAGCTTGCAAGCCAGGTGTCTCAGATGCCTCATGATTTCAGGTTAAATGCTGGACCAGTGCTCTCCTTGGTTGGCCCATCTTGTCACCTGATAGTTGACAATGCATGTGATATAGCCAGAAGGCCTGGTTTCATGTCCACTTACTGTCCTTCAAACCTTGGGCAGGGTCCAAGCTTTCTGTGTTTTGGTTTCCTCATCTATAAAGTGAGGGTAATTACAGTGCCTACCTCACAGGTTACTGTGAAGGCAACATGAGCTAATCCATGTAAATTGTCTAGCACTATGCATGGCCCATAGGAAAAGCTCACTGAATGCTAACTATTGATATTTTTGCATGTATAAGAGAGCATTGACTATGGGAAACATCATCATCATAATTGGTATGTATGTATATTTTTTTTCACTTCTCTACTAAAATAAAAACTTTTTGAGGGGTATGAAGGGATGCTGTACAACTTTCATGTTCTCCATAACCCCCCCCCAAAAAGTACCACTCTCTCAACAAGATTCATAAATAAATGAGTGACTGGTACTGACCTTGTACCGTGAGCAACACACTAACTAAGCAGTGCTCTCATTTCTAATCCCACTTTGATTTCAATACCCCAGAATTTTTATGCATCATCTCACTTACATCATCCAATAAAGTCCTGGTCTGAAGGGTGATGTCTATGAAGAAGGAGCCCAGACCTTTCCCGTGTAGCTTGCCCAGGATGATGGTCAGAGCCTTCATACTCTCATGGGTGACTTCAGAACTCACAGGGTCGTACAATCCGTGCACCAGCAGGTCTAGCATGATTTTCTTATACTTTCTCACCTGTTATCAAGGTTTGAAAAGCATTAATCGCTCAGGAATCATTCTCTATGAATTGAAAAGCAACACCACTTCCATCTTCCAGTAACCTAGGTCTTATACTGAGAGACCATGGCATTATTCAGGATCTGCCACAACTCTCATCAAAATACAAATGCTTCCATTAACCCAACCCAAGAGCCCAACTGGCTTTGGAAGGACAACAGAAAGCAAGAGCTGGATGGGTGCGCTGGGGAGGGCCCTGGAGAGAGGCTGGTGGACTGTGGTGAGTCCAAGGCTTGAGGAGTACTGAGTGCCTTAAAATGGGGAGGTCATTAAATGGTAATGAAGTTAACAGATGCTAAAGGAAGAGGTGTAAACAACTTCATTACTGAAGAAATATAACTTATGAGAAAATTTCCAAGGAGGGCGATGTCAGCAAGTGTCAGCTCTACCTGCAGCTGTGTACCATGACTGATAGTGGTGAGGAGCGATAGCCTAAATGACCCTGAGTGAGCCACATCTTTGTATAATCTGCTCTTCTTGAGTATGGAAGGAACCACACTTGCTTCTAGCCTAATAGATTATACAAAGGTGACAAGATGTAGCTCTCCCGTGGCTACTTTACATTCAAGAAGACTCCGCTGTAGCAGACAATAATGAGAGACACTCTCCTGCCAGCCTTGAAGAAGTAAGCTGCCGTGTCATGAAAGGGTGATCAGCAAGAAAATCAAAACCTCAGTGCTACAATCAGAAAAGCTGAATTATGCCCAAAACCATGTAAGCTCAGGAGAGTACCTGAGCTTTGGGAAGGAACACAGTATGGTTGGTCCAGGCTGTGCAAGATCCTGAGCTGAGAACCCAGCTGAGCTAAATCAGACCCTTGAGCCACCGACACGGTGAAGTAACAAACACTTGCTGCTCTGTGTGCTGAGCTTCTGGTGATATGTTACACAGCAGCTGACCAATCTACCAGGTAGGAGCTCCAGCCTTGGGGACTCCACACATGAGTCTTGGAGAGTTGAGAAGATCCGCCGAGTTCACCTCCCTTCCCTACCTGGTTGGGGGCTTCACAGGCCATGGTTCCCAGGCCTCTCATTGTCAGGTGGCGCTTTTTAGCACTGGGGTCCCAGGCTTTTTCTGCCAAGATGAAAAGTACATTCTTCAAAGGCTCCCGCTTCTGGAGCCTCAGTTTCCAAGAGACCTGGGTGATGGGTCAAAAATATATTAATTTGGGACTGTTTGGAGTCATATTGTGAACCCAGACCTAACCCTGTCTCCTCTTTCTAGAGAGAATCCTATCATTGCCTGCTCAATTTTGTCCTTCGTTCTCCAACTAAATGTGTGTGTGTGAGTGTGTGTGTGTGTGTGTGTGTGTGTGTGTGTGTGTGTGTGTTTCCGGGATCAAACTCAGGGCCTTGTGCATGCTAAGCACTCACTCTACTATTGAGCTATGGCCCCATACCCAGAGATGCCTGATTCTGTTGGCAAATTATATTAATTTGATCTGCATCATGGAGGAAGAGAAAAGGAGGAAGAAAAATAATGCAGGACTCATGTCAAGGTGGGTTTGGGGAAATTATAGAGATGCTTTATAGCAGTGGTAGGTGTGACGAGTTGAGAAGAAAGAACCTCACAGGGGTTGATGTGAGAATACGGCTCCTTTTCATGGTATAAGAGATGCTGTTATCCCTCCAACCTTAAAGATTCTCTTCTTCCTTCAGCTCCTCATTTTTCTGCTCCACTTCATAGCTAAATGCCCTGAAAGACAGGTCTATGCAGTACTTGCTTTTTCCAATCTCAATTAATATCTCTCTCTCTCTCTCTCTCTCTCTCTCTCTCTCTCTCTCTCAACAGGGTCTCTCTGTGTAATTCAGGCTGGTTTTGAATTCACTATGTAGCTCAGGCTGGCCTCGATCTTTCAGCAGTCCTCCTGTCTCAGCCTCCTGAATGCTGAGATTAGGCATGTGCCACCACACCCAGGTCCTCCTGTTCTCCCTTGAATCTTCTTTTTTTTTTTGTACTGGGTTGAACTCAGGACCTTGCCCTTGTGAGGCAGTTGGCGGCACCAATGAGCTAAATCCCCTGCCCTCCTTTGAACCTTCTGTAGTCAGGCTGATCACCCATCTCCATCCCACTGTATGGCTAATTCCAGGGTCCATTCTCAGCTGTCATCTTACTCAACTTGCCAACACCATGTGGCACAATTGGCAAAGCTCATCCGCAAGCATCTCTTAGCCATCTACAAACATCTCAGGGCCCTTAAAGACCATCCTCAATCCAGGATGCAGGCCTCTGTGCTAAGATTAGGAAGAGGAGGCTGGGGATTTGGCGCAGTGGTTTCCCTGCCTGCTGCGCAAGCGTAAGGACCCGAGTTCGATCCCCAGTACCAAAAAAGAAAAGATTAGGAAGAGGAATGCATAAATAATTCAAGTCAGAAAACACTCTGTGTCTGATGCAGCAACTTGTGCTTCAAAGACTCAGCTGTGAGTAATTGCGGGGCAAGAGATGGGACGAGATGAGCTGCCCTCTGTAGTAAGCAGGCGAGCGTGGGTACCAGGCAGGCCCTGGTGTCCTTCAGAACACAGAACAAGGCAGCCTCTATTAGAGTCAGAACCAAGATGATGGAAGATTCAGACAAGACCAGAGACAAAAGCCACCTATCTCCCCACCATCCTTAGTAAGTGTGTGGGGCGGGGAAGATGCAGATCCAGCTGAGTAATTTCCAAGCCTCATTGTTATTTCTGAATATTCACTGCCGTTCATTCTACATTTTTATCATTGAGTTAGCAGCAAGTTAAATCCTTCTCAACTCGTCTTTTTGTCTTCCTATAATTTACGGTAAAAGAACACATTTGGTTTCAGAGGGACCCTCAATGGGGCAGGTCCAACTGATGACAGACCGAGCAGGCACACATCTCCAGGGAAGGGGCATTTGTTCATAATGTTTCTCGTCAGACCTTAGAAAAGAAAAATATCATTGATCTTCTTTTCTTCTTGGGCTTGGAAGTAGGGATGGAAAGGGGTTGGCCCAGGAGTCTCTGTGTTTGGTCCATGGAACTGAAAAAAAAGTCAAAATCATCACATGAGCCACAAACACCCATGTGCAGCCTTCTCCGCAATGAACACCGCTGCCCAAATCACCATGTGGATGAGAATATACAGAGGCAACACTCCAGGCCTCGCTCTAGGAACTTTCATCCTGGTGAGGAGCGAGGACAATCACACAAAAAGGTAAACAGCAGCTTGAAGCAGCTCCTGAGGAGGAGCAGCTTGGGGCTCCTGGGGAGCTCCATCTCTGGCTCCCCGTTCCATTCTGCAGACTTCTTTATCACAATCACCCAAGAAATAAAACAGATTTCTTGTCTCACCCCCACACTCCTCAAGACTTGAAGTAAAGAGTAAATTCAAATTTTGGCTTTTTTAAAGCTCCCTAAGAAGGTCAGTGGCATTCCTTTACAGAGGATATTTGGGTTCTGTATCCTGTTGTCTTACAATACAGCTATTCTTTCATTCAGAAATTCTTCAATCGTACAGACATTATTAGCACATCATCTGCTCAAAGGTACACGAGGTGTGAAGCAATTCTGGAAGTTCTCTCTTGTGAGTATCTTTATGAGGTATGATTTTTTTAAAAATGTGGTGAAGGCTGCTGCTGAGTGCCATGCAACAGAAAGAGGCTCATAAGAACATTATGGTGTGTCTTCACCCACCTCAGTCACCAGATTGGGCACTGTGCAACCTCTTGTTCTTCCCCAAACTCAAGATGACCATGGAAGGTAAACATTTTGAATCAATTCAGGACATCCAGGCAGCCACAACAGCACAACTAAACACACACAAGACTTCCTGAACCATTTCAGAAAGTGGCAAGAATGTTGGAATAAGTGTGTTTGAAGGGAGGGGGGAATATTCTGGAGGGAGGATTAATGGCAATGTGTCTTTTACTGTAATAATTTTTCATTAAACATTCACTGTATTTTTGGTCACTCTTCACACATAAAAGATAGGCATCATCACACTATAATGAACATTGTGTCCTTTCATTGTTGTAACATAAATACATTAAATATATGTTACAACTCTACTATAGGACAACTGCTATGCAGTCATTACAATGAATACTGGGTAGCCCTACACGTGCCGAAATGATCTTCAAAACAGACTGCCAAAGGGAAAAATGCAAATCAATGTGTACAGTACTTTTAAACATCCGGTACCCTGACTGCCATAGATCAAGGCTGGGCCCAGGCACCAACAATTTTTAGAGCTTGCCACATAATTCAGTGAGTAGTCACTGAACTAGAGTGAGTGTGACCAGCTGCCTTGGTTTGCCCAGGGCTGAGGGTTTCCCAGAACATGGGACTTCCAGTGTTAAAGTCAAGAGTCTTGGGCAAACATGGGACACATTCCTACCTGATAGAGTCCCAGCCCTCTTACACAGATGCACCTGGCCAGGTTTGACAGCAGGCAGGCACAGCACAGACTTAGTTTCCCTGTCACCTTTGCCCCAGGTTGTTTCGGTCATGCTGTCTTGTTCACAAGACAAGGGAGTGGTCCAGGAAAACAGCTCTTCACTTCCACACCCCCAGTTCCAGTTTCTCCTTCATCTTTGGCCAGTAACCCTCTGTTGGGACCAAAATATAAACCCAGAAAATTGCACTACCGCCTTCAATCCAGTTAGTGAGAGTTTCTCCTTGCATTAGTCACCTGGCTGAATCGCAGTTCTCTTTGTTGAATTGAAGGCAGGCCCTGGGCTTTATCATGAAGCCAGTGATGCTTATACTTGAGCATGCATCAGAATCACCTGGCAGATGTGTTAAAACACACATTGCCAGGCCTGGTCCCAAGAGTTTCAGATTCAGATCCTAGGGACCACACTTTGAGAATTGCTGCAGAAAGTGAAAGAAACCACAGTATCACAAGTCATTCTCTTCCAGAGGAAAGGGATTATAAACTCATATTGAGGCAAACAAAAATGTTTTGTTGCTTCTTTCTGGGGTTTTCTTTACACAGTCTTCTGTTTCAGTGGAATCTGCCACTCCTCAGGTGGAAGGCTCTGCATCAGAGCTGACAGATGCCTGCCAATGGGTCCACGGAGCTCAAAAGAAGCACAAGTCCCACAGGCTGGAAGTCTGCTCACCACGGAGAGTCCAGCCTCACTGTAAAACAGCAGGTGTCTGTGTTCCAAGGCATAAGAAATCACACCTGGAGCTGCTCTCCACTGTGAAGGAAAACAACCTGTTCCCTTGGTTTTCATGCTCAACTTCTGTTGCAAGATTAGCAGGGCAGCTAAGGGTTTCAGCCAGCCAAAGCGGCTTCCCCAGTCTTCTGAAGCCAAGCAGCCAGCCTCATCTTAATAGGCAGGTCTAGAATTCAAGATCAGAGAAGGCTCTCCAACAGGGCAAAGTAAAGGAGAGCTGAGCCATCCTTCCCAGAGGATTCAGCATTCGGTTAGAGAAACACACAGGCCACATCCTCTGCTCCCCACCTGCTCCATAATCCCTTCCCACCTCCTTGCTTTGTGATTTTCTCAGTCTTGTATGTTGCCTTTGAGAGCCCATCTTGATGTCTGGTGCGAAAGCAAAGCATTTCTCACTGTGTAGGGGTGCTGGGCGTGCACCTCTTTCAGCACCCCTGGTATATGGTCAGAGTCTCAGGGAGCATCGGGCCTGAGCACTTACTTTTCACTCAAGATGCCTAGTGGTGCTATACACAGCTTGGTATATAAAAGCCCCTGTGCTAGAAATCAGTCCCACAATCGGGTACTCCAGAAAGCTGAGCCCAGGCATCAGCAGAGACCCCCGCAGTCACAGGAGGAGGTGGGCTGTTGGGGAGAGGGAAGCATGTCAGAGTCTTTGCAGAGAACAAAGGATTGATGGCATATGTTTGTGGAACCCCATGAATTTCACTATTGCTAGGATCTGAGTTGGTTTGTCCCTTCCAGAACTCATGCTGAAATTTAATAATTATGAGCTATTAAGAGGAGGACCAGGTGCAGCCTTTAAAAGGCAGTTAGGGTTCTGATCTTATGAATGGAATAATCCACTGATGTGATTAAAAGATTAATGGGTTAAAGGGTTATCTCAATGGGTCTGCTAAACAAAACAGGTTGGCTGGATTCCCACCCCCCACCCCGCCGCCGCCCCATACCAGGGATCGAACTCAGGACCTTGCACTTGCAAGGCAGGCACGGTGCCACTGAGCTAAATCTCCAGCCCTGGCTGGATTTCTTTTATGCTCCCTGTCCTTCACTCATGGATATCCTGCATGACCTCAGAACTCCACCAGCAAGAAGTCCATCACCTGATGCAGCCCTGTGACCTTGATAACTCTCTTCTCTTTATAACTTTCCGAATCCATGAGGCTGTGTTATTAGCCACAGAGAATAGACTAAGATAACTATCAAAACAAAATCATGTGGGGCTGGGTGTGACAGTGCCCACCTGTAATCCTAGCTACTTGGGAAGCTGAAGCAGAAGAATTGAAAGTTTGGGGCCAGTCTAAGCAACCCAGAGAGACCCTATCTCAAAATTTTAGAAAAGTTTTAAAGGGCTAGGGGTGTAGCTCAGCACTAAAGCACTTACCTAGCAATCTCTCAATCCCTAGGGCCAAAAAAACAAAAACAAAACAAAACAGCAGGGGCTGGAGGTAAAGTGTAAAGTGTGAGCTTAGCATGCACAAGGCCTTGGGTTCAATCCCCGGCACTATCAGCAATGACCAAAAACACAGTAAGCTGAATAACTATGGTCTGTGTACTTTCCAGCATGCTATTCTTAAAAGTTTCCTTAAAATAAATAAAACAAGCTAGGGTCACAAGGCCCTGACCCAGAACTTTGTCCCTTGAGCTTCCAGCTTCTTAAAGGACCCACACCACTCACAGGCTCCCTTTCCTGCCTGCACGTTCCTCCTCCCCCTCTTCCAACAAGTTATGTACTTTCTGCCCAATCCAATCAAAACAAAAGATCATTTCCATCTGTTGCAACACAGGATGTCAGAGAGGAACATTTTAAACATACTATGAATGACCTGGTACACAGATTCCAACATTTCTTAGATGTCTGGCTCTTCCTAGGTGGTCCGAGACAACCTTGAACAGCAGTCTTTCCCATTAGAGGTTAGCTTTTCTGGTAGCTGTCTACAAGCATCATGGGTGCTTGGCCTGGTGTGACCAGGGTTGGCCAACCTGAGGCCAAGGACATGCTGTGCTTGTAGATTTGCTCATCTTGTGCACATGGTTCAATGAATACTTCTTCCACTGGGAAGGAATTCCTGTGTACACTGGGCTCAGATCCCTGGCCTGGTCTTCATCAACATGTCCTAGTTCTACTTGCTCTTACCAAAAAGAAAGGGATATCGCCTCTCAGCCTTTGGCTAAGATCAAGTGTAAAAAGAAAGGGATTTGGGGTAACATAAAAGATTGTTCAGTGCCAACTCCCAGATGCCTTTGCAAATGTAAATCCATCTGACTCAACATATTAGGTTTATGATCAACACTGTGAAAGCCAAACTTACAAACAAACTTACAAACTTGAATCTTTTTCTCATCTGTAAAATAAGGAAAGAAATTTATATTTCTAACAATCCTTTCAACTCTGAACTCATTAATGATAATATGCAAAGTCACTAGCTATTGGGTGGACATTTTTGTATGCTACACCAGATGAAACACAGAGTCTACCAAAAAAATGTATAGACACTTCAGGAAAAGAAAAATACGATGTTTTTTCAACAGATGGTGTTACCCTCATATAGGGGACCGGAGAAGATGTCATATATCACAGAAAACCCACTACACTGCTGGCCCTTAAAGAAGAAATTGAAAATGCATGTACAGCAATCTCAATGACCACGGATCCCCAGGCAGCAGTTCACTGTACTAATAAATGTCTGGAAGCTAATGACCACCACTTTGAGCATCTCTTATAATTGTAGAGGCCACAGGAAATTGTATTAATCTCATGATGTCTCAATAAATGTAGTATTAAAATACTTATACAAGTTTTTCTTATCCTGAAGTGTATATACTTTCTTTTTTGGTGGACTCTGTATCTTATATACTGCACAGGAGAAGCTGTTTTAATTGATCTCTGCTCAACCGTCGCGGGAGGGTAGCTGGATTCTCCAGGCTCTCTATGAAGTACACCAAAACACTGCTTTGGCTGACCATAATCACTCTTTCTTCTGCTCCTGGACGTGACATGCTTACCAAGAAGCAGTTCACACCATCTGTACTTGA